TGTAAAGTTGTCAGATGATACAGCGGTGGTGGGATGCATCACAAACAACGATAAGTCCAGCTACTGGCAGGAGGTAGAACACCTGGAGAGCTGGTACAGGAAGAACAACATTCACATCAGGGCAGCTGTGGCTGAGTGGTTAGAGCAGTCGTCCTCCAATGCGAGAGTTGGGGGTTCAAATCCACCAGCAGTCACATGCTGAAGTGCCTGGGCAAGACACTGAACCCCATAACCTCTGATGTGTGTCCCATCAGTGTATGAATGTGATCTAAAGCACTGATTAGTCTCATTAGAATGATTTGTTCAATTAGCTTTGTAGAAATCTAGTAAGAGTGCTGTATGAATGGGTAAATGTGGGCACAGATTGTAGTTTAAAGCGCTTTGAGTATCTTGAAATAAGATAGAAAGGCACTATATAAGTACAGTCCATTTACATCAATGTGAAGAAGACAAAGGAGATGGTTGTGGACTTCAGATGGAATAAACACACCTATATCCTCCCCGAACATAGGAGGATCTGCAGTGGAAGTGGTCTCCATCTACAAGTACTTGGGTGTGCACGTGAATGACAACATCGGCTGGGGCAACAACACTCCCAGCCTGATCAAGAAAGCTCATCAGAGACTCTATTTCCTCAGGCAGCTGAGACTAGCTGGTCTGGGAAGCTCAGTCCTCCCCTCCTTCTACATGTGTGAAGTGGAGAGCATCCTGTGCTCGAGCATCAATGTGTGGCATGGAGGCTGCACAGCTGCAGAAAGAAAAGCTTTGCAGAGAGTGGTGAAGGCTGCACAGAAGTCTGTTGGAGTCAGTCTCCCCACCATCACAGACATCTACACCTCCAGATGCAGCAAGCGGGCCACCTGCATCATGAAAGACCCCACTCACCCAGCACACACACTTTTTGCCCCGCTCCCCTCAGGCAGGAGGTTGAGGAACATTAAGTGTAGAACCACTAGACTGAGGAGCAGCTTCTGCCCAGAGGCTGTTAGACTCATTAATCCCTAACCAGGATAATCACTGTGAAAAATTCACTGTAATGTTGATATGTGCTGCTGATTTATTCATGCTGCTGTGATCATTCGTACTCATCTGCTCACACAGACTCATGTTCGTGCTGCTGTTCGGCGTATTGTTTTTGTATTTCTAGTGCTTAGTGTATTTTTAGTTAACATTTTTCTTAGTTCATATTTTAGATCTTATTACTGTTTTTCTTCTGCATTTTATTCTTTTGTTGGATGTAACTGGGACCCTGTGTACACAATTTCATTCCACCACCTGTACGAATTACATATAAAGAAACTTTAACTTTGACTTTATGTTGTTGTCAATAAATAGATTTAGTTTTGTATTTTATGTGTTGATTGTTCCAAATGAAACATTTAATGTGGAGAAAAGTCGTGTTTATAAATTAAAGACCATTGTAGTGAACCTAACCTGAAGTAATAAGCCTAAGGTCGAAACACTTGACCTTAAGAACTGATCAGATGGACAGAGACTGGTATTTCATTGATCTGCATCCAGAAATACAGTTTGAGCCATCTGGAGACTTTCTTTCTTGAATTAATCAAGTAGAAAAGACAATTCTCTATGATCATTACTATTTTACAAATGTTTGATAATCAAATTGTGTTAGTTCACTCAATGCTTACAGGTTGAAGAGAACTACTCATTTTTATTTTACATAAACAGTAAGTAATGATTTTTATTCCTCATTCAAAGAAGAAATCAGGTTAATATGCATTTCTTGATTTTCTGTCTTCAATGAGCAAGTTTTGTAAGTATGTTAAAGGTCGAGTCTCGGTCAACTAAAATGTTTACTGAGAAGAAATGTCATGTTTAAACTTTTTCAGAAGATAATAAGAGTGAGACTCCACGAAGTCTGGTTTTCTCCAATAATCTTTTCTGTATGTTGTAAACAATCTCATTCTCTGACCTCGAATTTGATAACATCTTACATCACAAACCACACCTCTATTCTGGTCCATCTACGAATCAGAAAGCTCTAAATTGACCCGGAAGTCAACTCATTTAAAATGTGGCAACTTCCCGGTTCTGAAAGAGTTTGATGCTGCAGAGCTCTGAGAGTTCCACACAGAGTGCTGAAGAGTGATGGATTTAGAGTTCCAGATAGAGTGCTGATGAGTCTGATGTCGGAAGTCTGATAGAGAGTGCTAAGGAGATGAAAGGAGTTCAGAGTTCTTGGATGCAAACGCATTCAGGATGATCCAGAGACGTTTTGGGATTGTAACTTCTGTTTGAATAACCTCGCACGACTCTCGAAGGATTTCAGCTGCTCTCAACGGAGACGCTGAAAGAGTCAAAGGAGGATCCTATACCGACGCTGACCTATCATCAACCAGGTAACAGTCCACTTCGACCAAGCGTACCGTCGCAAGCTGAGATCTGAAGGAGCGTGCACGTTTCTGGTCAAACAGATTAATTCCCTCACAAATCTCTCTGTAAGATAAATCTCCATCTTCCATCTTAAACTCTCCTTTCTCCTAAAATCAGTACAGATATTTTAGAAATATCTGAAGCAAAGTCCTCAGTCACCGCCGTGTGATTGATGTCCATTATCTGTGAAACTTGTCTGTTATTATTTTCATATTTTGCCAAATTAATGTAAATGTTTGATGTTAAACTTTGATTCTGAAAATAAATGACCGCATTCATTTGATGGGTCAAAGATAAATAACGTCTCTCGTTACATTTTTGTTAAATTCAATGCACGACATTTACACAGTCAGAAAAATGAAGAACTCGTGAAAAATTGTATGAATATATCCATATATGACATACTACATTTGGTGGCCCGTACGTACTGTTTTTAACAGATAAAGTACTACATTTGGTGGCCCGTAACGTGCTCATAAATGACTGTGTATTCGTGTGAAGATTTTTACATGTTGGCATAAAATAACAGTTTATCAGCTGTGATTGAACGCAGCGCGGTGAAGCTGCGCCGCTTTGAAGTCAAAACGCTGCATGTTTTTAAGCGTGTTGGTCTGTGAAGCTCAAGAAGCTCACAGGAAGCTGAAATAGTGTCATATGTCTTGTGAAAGCTGAAATTGTACGCCTGTTATGTGTAGCTGGTTTTGAGCTGGGTGAAAACGCTCTGTTCTGTTTAAAGACGGTCCAGATGCGGTTCTGGACCGGCTCGGTTCTGAAGAAGGTTCGGACGAGTTGTTTAAATAGCTTAAAAGACGTTTTTGAGACCGGAGTAGAAGACTCCGTACAGCTCAGAGTTGATTTGTTACATTTTTAACAGAAAAAGTGCATTTGGACAGTTTAAAAGACGATAAGTTGACGAAATGGTTTCAGGCTAATCTAACATGCTGGTGGCTGCTAACGCTTCGTGATTGGTTGAATATTGCTGTTGTGGAGCGCTCTGATTCGCTGAAAGGTTGACTGACGTGGCTACGTCACTTCCTCTCACCCCTGCGCTGCTCTGTAATTGGTGATTTCAGTCACGTGACCCGGAAATGAAAATTCGTTTTCATAGGGAAATAAAATCTGCTTTTTAAAGCTGAAAAGCGCTTTAAAGTGTAGTTTGACACGCTGGTTAAGTTCTTCAAAGCATACTCGCTGAAATTTTGCCACGTTAGAGTTTAAAATCCGTCATTAAATGATGTTTTTGAACAACGCTAGCGATGCTAATTTTAAGCTAACAGCTAACGACCGGATGAGTGACGTGTCACGTCACTTCCTCCATGTCGGAAATGAGCTTTGCCGTGCTTAAAATCACTAAATAAAGCTGCAATATTGTCCCAGAAAACTCATGTTCATGCTAAGAAGTCGTGCTTGTTGAAACAACGCCACGTTTACGCTTAAATTCGTTCAGAAATGTTGATTTTAACCGAGTTTAGCCGAAGCTAATTTTAAGCTAAGCGGCTAACAACAGGATGTCAACCGAACGTCACAGGAAGTCGTCATAGACTCCTGCTGGTAGAAAGCTAAACACTGCCCCCTCCTGTAGAAACTTTAAATCACAGTTTCACTTCATTTTTAGGTTTAAAGAGTGAAATTAAACGTTTTATTTTTCTGTAAGGCATTTTTGAGTTAACAAACTTCCTCAAAGCTGAATAAACACTGTTATCTTGCATTTTAAAAAGTGAAAGGTATTTATGCAAAGAGGCATTTACCAAACACATTTTATTCACTGGTAATTCCTTAAAGAAGAGGTACAAAATAAAATAAGAAACTTTTTAAAAGATACAGTTACAAATATTCACAGAGTTGATAAAGTTGCTCATTTGCTGGAGAGATAATACACGTTTAATTACAAGATCACTAAATAAGAGTAAACTTATCAGGAAAAAGAAACTTTTCTGTTTAAGTTGCCACCTAAAAATAAATCTTCCTATTTAATTTTAAATAGAAGTCACTGACAGGAGGACAACAGGAATAACAGTTTTTCTGAGGAAGGACTGATTAATCCTGATACATCATCAACTTTTCTTTTTCTTTTCACAACTTAGTTCTATGAGTAATGTTGTGAAATAAAATATATTTGTGTGCTTAATTCTTTAGTTTTATGTATTGGTGAAACTTATTTACTATTCAACAAAATCTGTGTATAGCTGAAGAAGACAGGCATTTTCTGTCATCAGATCCTTTGTTTAAACTCAGCAGAAAATTGAGCACGATAGGGGGAGGTGAACAGAACCTTCTTGTTGATGTTATAGAGGCCTCACCCTCTGATTGGTTTAGAAAGCTGCGTTGCTATGGATACGAGG